GTTTGATAAGTTTAGTAACACACTCTACGGTAAATTTATCAACTTGAATTTTTAAATGACGGGGAATGTGGAAATGACCCATGGGAGAAATTGTATGGATCCTGTAATACCTTCCACATTGTGGTCATAATAAGAACTTCCATGTTGGATGAGATTAGTGGTCCATCTAGCCCAGTTTCCAACAGTAACCAATAGTAGAAGCTTTAGAGGAAGATGCAAGAAACACTAGAGTAGGCAGTTATGGAATCATCTGTCCACAGGAATGGTTTCTTACTAACACCCATTAATTAATGCTCTGACACATGACAGTTTACATCCCTTCCAAAACTCTTGGGGCTTTTGTTAGTTTGTTAATTCTTAGTATTGGAACTCTGGAAGTTCTCTGTTATCTATATGAATTCTTTGTTGAATCCTAAAGATGGGCCCAAACTGCAAAATACCTATGTGCACTCTTCCTAAAATGAAGCCGTATTCAGATTCAGGTTCTAGTTCATCCCATTACAAAAATGGAACCTCAAATCCAAGCTTTCCTGTGTTTCAGGCATAGTTTGATATGAGGTTTTGGTTCTATCTCCTCTTTTAAAAACTATGGCGGTGCAATCACATGGAAAACACGGTGGATTCATGAGATAAACTGCAGAAGTTTTGCATTGTCGTGGTACCTGCCACATTGTGGTCGTCATCTGGAATGTCTTCCAAGCTGTGTGGCTGAATCTGAAGGCTTCATTTTTTACTTCAAGTGTCCATTAGAGCACTAGCACAGTGTCTTCATCCTGATCCCACTGTAATATAGGCCACTGGGCTCTAACAGAGGTCACCTCCTATATGTAAATATAAACCTGCTGATATTCTGCTGTCCTCCGACTTGCCATGCAAGTGAAATTACACAACAGTGTTACTAATTTTAAACATAGTGAAGTGATGATGGGAAGGCCCTTATGTGGCAAAAGGGAAGGAAAAGAGAAACAACAGAGGACAGTGAGACATAAGACTACACTTCAGGATTATTACGTGTTATAGCTGATGCTCTGCGTCTCCCCAAAACAGATGACATGATTCCTGCCCCAAGGAACTTGCACAATGAGACGTGAAGGAACAAGACAGTAGGGAGGGTTGATCACTTTGTGGTTTCCCAGTGCGGGCTAACCAGTGGCGTGGTGGGGGGTTAATATTTACACAAAATGGACATCCTAGCTGGCTAATTTCTTGTAGGTGTTGTGGCAAGAATGGACCTTAAAGGGGAACATGAATGATGATTGGAAGGTGGCCTTGCAGATCAATTCAGGAAGTGCAGTCCATACATAAGGAGCGGTGAAAAAGCATAAATGAAGAAGACAATGAAGGAGCATCAGTATCATGCTGTTTCCTCGTATGAGGCTGATATAGCTCAGGCATTGCAGCTGTGCTCCCTGATTGCTCCTTCAAAAATCTTTCCTTCTCACCTTTCCCCATGTCCTGTCCCCACTCTCAGGCTGTGGGGGATAGGTAGGAGGTTCTGGGGAGTCTCTGTACCTCCTTTGTGCTTGGGAGGCTGGGAAGCAGCCCAAAAAGGCCATACAGTCTGCCAAGAGGGTATTTCCCCCACTGCAGCAATTTCTCTTTGCAGTACTCCGCTGATCAATACTGAAAGCTTCAGTGGGAGGAAAAAAATACTCTCAAATCACAAAAGTTGCATTCCAGTGCAGCTAGTCATTGGGGAAGAAGTACTTTAAGACTACTTCAGCAGTTCTCTAATGCTATCTTGACAGTGAATCCCAAGTTCACAGCATTAGTGGATAAAGCATTCAATAATGGACTGCTGCTGCTATTCATCGCCAAGTGCCAGAAATTCACCCCATTTCCTCTGATGCCCAGCTGAACAGCAGTGCTCTAATTCAACTCTGCATTGGAAGAGGAATATGTTCCCTCTCTACTGTCTTTACCTCCTCTGTTTTCTTAGCTTCAACATCCTCGTTTTCTTGTGTTTTTCATATTCTGTCTTTGTGAGAATCTCTGGCTTATTGAAGGCTTTTGTAATCTTGTCATTTCAGAACACCAGTTTAAACAGGAAAGCCCTTCAGCTTTTATACAGCAGCTTAAAAGCAATAGTGACTCCATTGTGTTCTTGAATTGTGGGAAGCTCTTGTAAATTAGGAACAGGTGAAAGATAAACTTTCCCTTTCACTGGCTTGCTGGCATTTTCTTCTCCTAAATTCTGACAAAAATTGAGAAATCCTTGAAAATATGCTCTTAGCTGCAACTCTCGTTGATTGTTTTTATTCACCGCATGTCTGATACAAGCTCTGGGTGTGCCATGCGGAATTTGTGTGTTCTTTAGCCTCGCATTGGATGTTGGTATATGGAAGCTGAGGCGTATCAATGTGTATTTCTTTAGAAAATGAAATTTCATTTTGTATTAGGGCAAGAGGGTCAGTGCTTCTTGTTATCTTCTCTCCCTGTTCTTCAGGATCTTTGCTATAGAACAGACCTTGGCAACTGCAGCGTGTGTGTGTCTAAGAGAGAGTTTGTGCCTATGTCATTACCTCTTCACTTGTGTAAAATGACCCTTAGACCCCTTTCTTAGCACAGAGAGGAAATCCCTTGTTAAAACTAGTGAGGCCTAGAAAATCTTACCAGTTTCTCACTGCATCGCCAAAACACACCATTCTCTGCTTTTAATCCGTTATTTGCATTTGACATTGACCCTTCCTTTACATTCCGATTTTCAATCTCCATTTACTGTGCAGTGAAGTTTACATTGTATTTTAAAAATCCCTTCCAACTGCTGAGTCGTTGTGTAGTGTGTCTTAATATTTCGTGGAGGGCTGAGACACCAACAAGTGTTAAAATGAAAAACAGTAATAATGACCACCGTCATACTGTTTCTTGAGTATTCATCTTCGCCAGTTACATACAATCTTTTCTGATTCAAGCTTTGTGCCATTAAATAATGCATTCTCAGCTTATTCTAACCTCAAATCCTGTAGTAACCATCTCTTGCATAATGAGCGCCCTGCCATTTATGATCATTTGAAGTGTCTGCTCTTTGTCCTTAGATGAGTTCTGGTGCAGGTCACTTCCTCCAAATCCCTGGAGTGCTGCCCTTAGAACTGGTTTTGGGGCCTTGTCCCTTGTACTTTGTGTTGTTCTAGGAAGGGATCCCTCACAGTTGGTGGGGCGACCTACCTGACGTCTATGGGGTTTGCCATGATGCCAGAGTCTTTGGTTCCTGTTCCCTGTATATTTGGGCCAGTGTTTGGCACTGATTTTATTATACAGCCCCTGGATACCTTCCCACCCCCAAAACACACACACTCATCCTGCTGCCCCTTTCCAGGCAGAAGCAGCCAGGCACTGGGAAAACAGAGATGACAATGATTATCAGCATTGAGATAGCCTTGTGATGGGTGAAAATGTACTTTGTCATGGAAGCGTGGATCCAGCTAATGCAACTAGGATTATGTGGGATATTCTTCATGGTAAATATTGCATTGGCACCAGAGGTAGAGTTGAGCAAGGACTCGTGCTGTAAAAATAACACTACTAAGCAGCTGATCTTTCAGACTGAGGGCTAAGTATCTGAGAAGTTGTAAGTGAGCTGCTTTCTCTTGGAAACAGAAGTGTCCTGCACTGATGCTCCAGTGCCATTGTGATCAGTTTTGTCATAATCTTCTGGAAGGTAGAATCAATCCTGTCAAAATCACAAGTTAGCCATTTAGGGATTTGTTGTTGTGATCATTCCTCTAAATGTCCTGCAAATATGTTTTAGTGTAGTGCAAAACTGCAGGCCTCTGTAGCTGAGCATATGGTCATTGAACTGACAACATTTCAGTTATGTACAGGGTTGTTGTAGCCATGTCGGTCCCAGGATATTACAGAGGCAAGGTAGGTGGGGTAATATCTTTTATTGGACCAACTTCTGTTGGACAGAGAGACAAGCTACACAGAGCTCTTCCTGCTTTGGGATCTGAAGAAGAGCTTTGTGTGGCTCGAAAGCTTGTCTCTCTCTCTCCAACAAAGTGTCTCTAACATTTCAGTTATACATATTGGCCCTGACTGAGTTCTGCTAAAGAATCATGCAGAACAAGAGCTGGGCAGGGTCCAAGGTTGGCTATGTGCCACCTTTGTGCTTCTGGCCCCCAGAGCAGTGTCCATTGTTTCTCAGCTGTTTCATGAAGCTGGGGGACAACAAATATCTGCAATAAATACAATGCAGCTCAGCTCAATGGAGTGCTGCTCTGTTTCACAGTTTTGTAACTTAATGAAATGGCTAGCAAATATTTCCAATACAGTAAGCACCTGACATGTCAGTTTGGAATGGTCTTCACTGAATTAATAAATTTAAAGAGAGTGCTGATTTCATTAATCTGACTATATAACCTCTATGTATTTTGTCAGTTTTAAAATAATTGTAATGGTTTAAAAAATAGGATACTGTTTCAGTGGAAACTGACAATTCATCCTTTTGGTGTAAGATATAAATTGAAGTAAAGATCAGGGAGTTCCTGGATTTTATTTTTGGCTTTGTAACCAACTCACTATGCGTCGCTCACCCTCTTTGCCATAGTGTATCAATCTATGAAATGGGTATACTACTATTTAACTTTCTTTAAAGAGGTGTTTGACGCTGAAGGTCAAGGTTTTCAAAAGGGGTTTAGTGATTTTTTGGGGTGCTTCATATAAGACCCCTTACAAAGGCCTAATTTTCTGAGGGATGTTCAGCACTTTCTGCAAATCGGGCGACCTTAAGGTGTCTCGAGTTGGGCACCCAAAATCGCTAGCCGCTTGTGAAAAACTTGACCTAATGCTTTAAAATTTGTAAAATGCTTAGAGATCCTCAGGTGCTAAATAATTTTTACTAGTAGTCAACACTTGTTCTTTGAACGGATCTGACAGCTTGTCTTTGTATCTCACAAATGTAAATCTCATGAGCTGTGAAAACACATTCTTCATAATACTAGCAACCGTGATCTCTGCATGCTCTATTTCTGCAATGTAACTGTGTTCCTCCTCCTCCACAGATACACGCTAGCAGCTCAGGACCTGGTGATGCGAGCCAGGGGAGTGCTGAAGGACAGGGGCTGGAGAATATCCAATGACAGACTGGGCTCAGGAGACGACATTTCTGTCTATGTCATTCCTTTAATACATGGAAACAACTTGTCATGAAAGTAGCACCGACAATGATAATGGGAGGGTGGTCTTTTTAGGAAGAGCCTTTGAAAAGACATGATCAGATCTGACCAGGACAGTTCTGATTGATGTAATTTAATCTAAACTCATGCTGGAAGGTGATGTTTCTGCCCAAAAGGTAGGGCTCTGCACATATCCTGTACACGATTAAAGGTATCTCTTAAGGTTACAGCTTCCCTATATTAATGGTTTTTGGTGCTTAACAGGAATGGAACTTAAATGCTGCTAATATATTATGGATTGATGGTTCCCTGTATTGTCCCTCCAAGTGAGTACCCCATTGTGACCTGAAACAGGACTTAACCTTTTTCAGTTTACCATGTGGCTTGAAACAGCCATTTTCAGTTTTGAAAATAGAAACGGGGATTGAAAACCAGTGAGGCTCTCAACATCCCCAAGATGACTGAAGTCATGGCCTTGGGATGGGTCATTTAAAAAAAAAAAAGTTAAAACTTGATCTGACACTTGACGTTATTGGTCATTACGAGTAATTGTCATTCTTTTTCCATGAAGACCTTCCAAAAATTGTACATGTATGATTGAATTCTCATTTTTCCCACTTAAACCCCCTTCAGAACACTCTGGAGACTTTACAGCTCCTTATTTCACATGTTTTGGTGGCAAAACCAAGACTGTCCTTGTGACTTGGTCTAGCTCACCACAGCCAAGCCATCTGCAAAAATTGCCCTGGAGAGTAGGGCACATTGTGTCGATACAAGAATAAATCTTGCAACAGGAATTTTGTCAAGATTTCCTTTGATATGACCATGATGTACCAGATCTTGACTTGATGCAGAGTTCCTCTGGAAGCCAAGGTTTCTTTGGGTCGGGCTACCCTGCAGCTCAGGTAGACTGACTCATGCTAGCGGGGCTCGAGGTAGTGCACTAAAAATAGCAGGATCGACATTTCAGCTCAGGCTGGAGCTTGGGCTCTCAAGTCTAAGAAGTCCATGGGCTTGAGAGGCTGAGCTCCAGCCTGAGCCGCAATGTCCACATTCCTATTTTTAGCACTCGAGGAGGCTTGCTCCTCGCTGGAGAGTAGACGTACTGTTTGGGACCTAGGATTGTCATTCTTTGGCTGGGTCTGTCTGCTTTATGATGCATCCTGTTGAAAAGATCACTGGACATACAGCTTAGCGATCAGTGTTCAGTAAATGTATTTTGTCTTCTGAGTTTGGGTTTAATTGGGTGTCTATGATAAATGTTATTGTTCTAGTTATTAACCCAGAAACACAGATAGCAACCTTATTGAAAAGCCTTTCACTTCTGTCTCCCTTATTATTCATCATAAAAGCCCTCTGCCCTGCCCCCATCATCAGAGTCCCATGCTCAGAAGGTGGCAACTCACTCATAACTCTGCACCTTTTGGTACCAGGGGTCGAGGATTAACGCGTTAGTGGAAGTCCTTGGCTTGCTTGGTCTCCTCTGCCAGTTGCACTCACTTGATGTTAAGAAAAATCTCTCTAAATAAGATACCAGCGTAGAAGCAACAGTGCAACAGGAAACCATTCAGGCAAAATGCAGCGCAGACATAGCCAGTATAGTGCAGTAATTGGAGGTGTGATTTGCAGTTCAGGTAGCCATACCCGCGCTAGCCTTAATCTAACTAATCTGGCTAAAAACAGCAGTGAGCTTCAGCGTGGGCTAGCAATGCCAGGGTGTGCCCAGAGTCCCGGGGAGCTTGGACAGCCTCTGCTGACACCCACACTGCTGCGTCTTCACTGTTATTGGGACCTGGGGTAGCTAGATGGTTATGGCTCCACAGACCGCAAAGCACAGCTCGGATTGCAATGCAGACATAACTGCAGTTACTGGTCTATAAACATAGAACTCTCTTCGCTGCCAGTGATTTCAATCCTTTTTTCAGAATCTGCTAACAGATAGCTAGGTCATCATGCCTAGCGAGCCCCCTAACCTGCTGGAGCTGCTGATCCCGGTTTGTAAATAAAATTGGCTAGCTAGGAGAAATGCAGTTGACATAATCCTAGAAATATGGGAGAGCTAACTAGACACCTCACAAATGGTAAGTTTGTCCCAAAGGAGAAAGTGCCAGCTTTAACAAGTGGATGCCGCGTCCTTTGCATTCCCTGAGGTGGTCACATTTTCTTCTGAATAGGACAGGCCTGGAGCCTTCCAACTGAGTAATTTATTATGTGCTACGTAAACAAGGTACCATGTGTTTTCAGTGAAGCTCAACAGGTGTTTAGTTCAATCCGTGGCACTACAAGGGCTGCTATGCCACTTTGATGTGCAAGTACAACAATCCCAGTGCACCAGACTTAAAAGCCCCTCCCTGTCAATAGTAGCAGGAGTTCCAAGCTGAAACGAGGCAGTGCTGTGTGGATAATTTGGCTCAAACGTGTCCCAAGTGTATGATTGTAGCCTGCAAACTGTTCCATGGATTCCACAGTGCCTGCGTGTGATAGCACCGCAGAAAACACAGCTGGTTCACAATCCAGAGCCTACATAAATCAGCAGCATATCTGCTTATGTATTGCTGTGCTTTACCTTTTTTGCCCTTACCCCTTTTTCTTTATGCAAATGGAAAGAGAGATGCAGATTTGAAATCTCACTGAGTCTAGAACATTTTCCACATAATCTCTCATACGTTTTATAGTTCAAGCAAGAGCTTTTTCCTCATGCACCTATTTATTTTTTCTTTGTTTGGCCTAGTAAACTTATCCATGTACTTTTTCATGGGTTTTGTAGCTGTGTAGTCCTCAATGATTCAGTTCACTTAAATCAGGAGGGAAACAATGGCAAATCCTTTTGAGCGGTACTAACAGGAGGGAGCACTGGTACATCTCAAGATAATGCCTATGGTACTCGCTGTGAGCCTGATTGATACAAATCCAATGCCAGTGTGTTATCCTTGATTTTAGTTAGAAGCATGGTGTCTACAGCTGCCATCATTCAGAAGACAGGAAGAAGAAAGATCTTTTAATTGAAACTCATTCATCTGCAGTGCAATATGTGACTCTGCATTACAGCAAGATTTAGAATATTACTGTCCTTAAACTGCAATGGAAAATAAACCTTCCCATTTAACAACCTTTTTAAAAGTAACCTTAAAAGTGTTTGGCACCAACAGTGAGGTGCATAAATCAAAAGTAGCAAAATGACTCTTAGCAAAATCTTCCCAGCATTGCTATTGCTTTGTGAATTGAGCTCAGTAGGTTTTCTTGTTTTTTCATTCAGACTTCCACCACAATTCACCTCATCCCTTTGCAGCTAGCATGTCTAGATCATGGTGTTGGCTTCCAGAGCACTTCCTGGAAAAGCCAAAAGCACGTCACTCAGAACACTGAGAGAGAAAACAGAGACTCTCGAATTCTGTGCAAACTGAATTGCAGTCAAGTCCTTGTTCTAATGAGCTCTGAGGATGTTCTAGTTTAATAAAAAGCTTCCCAGTCAAACATAAGTTTACTGTAATTGTGCTGGTGTTTTTTGTTTTGCTTTTCATTCAAAACCTCTTAGGCATGCACATGCTTTCCTTGTGAGAAATGTCTGCCCAATATAACTTCCTCTGATACAATGCTGTCGTAGCCTGGCTTTTAGTATAAATACCTTCTTACCACCTCTGTATAGCATTCCATACTTTTCTCCAAAACGTGATGCTTTTAGGAGGCAGGAGAATATTTGGGGGTGGGGGGGAAATTATTGAAAAGATATTCAAGTACATCTTGTTTTATCATAGACTCTTGCTTCCTTTTGTAGATTTCAGCATATTATGGGTCACAGCAGCAAACATTTCTGAAGGCAAGTAGAAAGCTTTGAAAATTTTCTTCCCACCTATGACCACTGTTGTGTGCATGCCATTTTCCAGCAAGAAGATTTTGTGCCTTAAAGGCACTACTTCAGTAATAAGGCACATTCCATTGGGACAGCAAATCTCAGTCCCTGCGCTCCCAATACACACATGCGCCCATAAGGGATCAGCACATAGAAAAGCTCTCATTTTGATAGGATATTTGACATGCAGGAATTGCCTAGGAATGATCAACTATGGTAATAATCCTGCTGTGCCAATCAATATTGCTGCTTCACAATGCTATCCCCCTCCAATCAAGCAGTACTATTTACAAAATCAGGCAAGTCATCAAATCATAGACTAATAAAAATTATATATGGAAAATGACTAATAAACCATCTAGTCTATCTCTTCTGCAAATGCTGGATAACTCCCTAAAGCTTTTTTTCCAAGTGCTTGCTCCTGTCTTATTTTAAACATCCCAAGCAAAGTGACTTCCTCTATTCTCCTATGAATACTATTCCGTACGCTAATACAGCTGCCTCTCAAACTTTCTCCTGCCTATGCGGCCAAAAATTTCTCTTGCTTAATTTAATGGAAAGCTGAGATATTTCATTAGGTAACCAACAGAGTTACATTCTCTGAGTGAATACATAATCATACCACCTGAGAGAGCTCGTTGTCAATAGCCCCTGCACCAGAAAAGAGAGAAATTTCCTAATAAAAAAAATTGAAAAGCAACAAGGCTGACTGTGTAAAGCAAACGTGGTTTTTAGGCCACGGGACTGACAAGAAATTATTTACATGCTCAAATGCGACTAAAGGGGTCTCTGAATTACTGTAGTAGCTATGCCCTGTCTCCTTGCTGATTTGAAGCACAACACTTACAATATCTGGACAGGTTTTGGCTTTGAACTGTACTTGTACATAGACTTGGTTTTAAAGGACACTACGCAACCCAGCCAACTCTGTCATATTTGTTCTTGCCTTTTTTTGCACACATGACATCTTGGCTTGTATCTAACATGAATTCCAGACTCTGGTCATTTCTTTCCACAACATTCTAGATGTGTAAATAACTTTTTGTTCTATCTGGCTCTTAGATGTAGATCTATTAATGTGGCTATCATATAGACAGTGACCAAACAATGCTGTAACTGTGCTGCTGTTTTCTACCTGTGATGTACTTGAAGGAGGCTCCCTTGTCAACCTCCACCTTTTTTGTTCTTCCAGGGGTACTTTATTTTGCTACTTTTTTTGTTTCTTAAATTTGGTAGCCGCCACTTTCCTCTTTCCGTCATTAGCATATTTTGAGGAACGTTTGATTGTCTAAACTTTGTATAGCCCAAACAAAGAAGAATCTGTTAGATGAAGATGTTTTGGACCAATGTACTTTTGCTTTGTGACTGTGAAATGTTACCTTTTTTGTAACCCGAGAACAAAAAATGTTTAGTAAAGGGATATATTTTGTGGGGGGGTTTGAAACTTTTAAGTGCAATGAAAAAAAAGGAGGATGTTGAAGAAATGTATGCGCAAAGAAGTTTTAAAATAAAAAAATAAATTATATATATATAAACACTTTATTTTGATTGTCATTGTCATGGAGATTGCTGTCCCAAATTCCTTTACTGTGGAGTTGATGATTGGCTAGTAATGACTATTGTTAACATGCTGTGTCTTACAAGAGATGGGATGATTCACTGCCAAATAGTCTCACATCTCAAAGGAATTTAGGGAGCTCTTGTGAAGCAATGGCATGGTCACTGGCTTCTATGAGAGACAATCTGATCTCTCAGCCTCAATGGATCTCTAAGTCGTGGTCAGTGGGCCACAGCCTGACACAGAGGATGATCCTGCAAAGTGCTCAATCATCAACTCAGTTTATGGCAAATGCAAAATGGTAGCAAGTGAATATGAAAATTAGACATGAAGTGACTTTTGAAAAGTGTGATGTACTTCCCCAGGGGGGCAACCTGGAACTGGGTACCACTGAGCCCTCTGTCTCACCAGCCTGGGCTCCCTCACTCACTGTGATGCTGTGACAAGCTGCAGTCCTCTCCTGGACTTGCACCTACACAGCCATACACAGGCAGAGACACACCCAGCTGCAGTTACATGAATGCTTTCACTAGCCAC